AATTTAACTGCTGTGTTGCTCTTTCTTAGGTTAAATGAAGACAGCAATACTTTTTTAAAACCTCAAGTCTAGAGGTTTGGGGCTGCCTTTGTTTCCATTTTAAATCAGCAAATACTTTCTCTGGAGGTTTTGATATAACTGCACAGTGGGTGACAAGCCCTGCCAACCCCTTTGTGGAGAGGAGGGCCTCTTGAATGAGTCCATAAATTAGGCAGAGACCTTCTTATTAAGTGAAAGATTTCTGCCAAAGTAGTCCCAGGAAGTTAAACTCCTTTGCAAGAAAGTGAGAGTAGCACTCTATTAATTTAATCAGCATGGAATAGTGGTTAAGAACAGGTTCTTTGTAGCTAGATGGTCTGGGCTTATAATTCTGTCTCTACTACGTGTGATCTTGATCAAGTTACTTTACTTGCATATGCTTCAGTTTCCTCAAGTGTAAAATGGGGATAAAAATGATACTACCTCATCAACTTGTTAAGAAGGACAAGTGAATGTGTTTCTATTTTTTTTTATTTTTTAAGCACCGGGGACTGTGCCTAGCACACACAGCAAACATTATTATGCAAGAGATAATTATGTAAGTACATGAAGTTATTCATTACTAAGTTGTGCCAAGTACTGGGATTAGAGAAACAAGAAAATGATGTGACTCCAGTTTTTAGGGAGATTATAGTCTGAGTCAGCAGGGAGTTGTTGTGAATAAGCTGAGAGGGTGACAGCGAAAGTGAGAAACGGAGTGGGCAGGGGGATGGCAAGTTTTAGAATATAAAGAAATAAATATAAATTATGGAAAGTTCTATATAAAAAAGAGAGTACTGAGTTAGAGATTAAGAAGTGTATAGTTTAGACACAAAAGGATGAATTTGCTAAGAGGACCCAAAAGTAAAACTCAAAAGTGAATTCTTCTTACAGTGGTAAAGAAAATGGATTGTAGAATGGCAGGAATGGAAGCAATAAAATGAGGTAAGCATCTAGTCTTGTCAAGAGATGCTGGGTAATTTTTCCTGTAAATTGCGTTTGCTTGTGAGAAATGTTTATTTCATAATAACAGAGTTAGATTGCAGTATAACTAAATAAAATCACTTTTCTTTGTAGTATTCTGTGTTCAAGCAGTTTCTCACAGGGATTATAACCCAAGGATAGTTAAGAAGGGATGCCTTCTGTTGGAGAAGAGTCTAGAAGATCTGGATCAACACTGATTTCACATGTATGTCAATATGTCATACAGAATGACATAAACTTTGGGAATATACAGGTTATGCATTACTGCGTTTCAATAGACAGCTTTGTGGAGAACTTATAACAAGAACATACTCTTGTGGGCTGGAGGGCTGGGTTTCTCTTAAGGGGAATTAATATATGCACAATCAGTAATTTTTAGAAGTCATTCTGAGACCAGAAATGAGAACTAGGAAGACAAATTTCAGATGAAGTAGTATGGTCGCATTGCATATAATCCGAGTGAGCAAATTCTGGGTGGTTGGGAAAGAAGCTGATTGGTATTCATAGAACAAGTCATTTTTCCTCTTCTCTAGTAGATTTTTCTCTGATGCACATAGCAGTAAAGGATTAACTTTTCCCAAAGAGAGGTTTGGCCTTTTCCTCCAGATCCTGTGATGTAACACCTCTAAGCCCTTGGAATGTCTTGCCTAAGAGTGTCTATTCACCTGGGGCCAGATAGACTAATTAACATTGTGATTTATGGTAGGGATCTTGGACTACACAGTATCAATTCACCCTCTGGAAGAGCTGGAGAATAAGGCCAGCCATGTAAGTGTTCATCCATATTTATGAAATTTAATCCCTAATAAAAACTATGGACACTAAGGTGAACCTTCTTGCTTGACAGTACTACATGTATATTATCACACATTCTTGTGAGAAAAAGGCACTGTATGTATACCTTTTGGGGGAGAGGGCAACTAGAATCTTGTTCTTGGTGACTCCTGGACCCTGTTCTATATGCCTCTTTCTTTGGTTGCTTTTAATATGTACACTTTGCTGCAATCAACTGTAACTGTGAGTATAATGCTTTTTATGAATTCTGTGAGTCTTTCTAGTGAATTACTGAACCTGAGGGTAGTCTTGGGATGTCCAAACTTGAAGTTGGTGTTAGAAGTGAGAGTTACCTTGAGGACTACTGAAATTTGCATGGCTATTCAAAAATCTTTTCATACACTGTGCTTATTCTGAAAGCTCCATTAATACTTCTCCTCAGGACCTAATTTTTTAGCAATCTTTATATTTTGCCTTTTCAGTTGTATGGCCAGCTAGCCAACCTCAGCTCTTGTGCATGAGTGTGAATTTAAATGTATATCTCAAAATACTTTTTCTTTCAGAAAGAATGAACAATCAGATATACTGCTTGAAGTTGTGCCCTCTGGGGAATTTTTCTTACCTCTAGTCTGCAGTAAAGCAGTAATCCTATGCTGTCCACTTGGCACAAACCAGGTTTGCATTTCCCCTCTTTCATTAAATGATCATAGGAAATTAGATGATAGCTGTGGGTTTAGGGAGAGTTGTTAAGCAGCATTAATAGCCATTGTGAGATTGTAAACCAACAGCTCACGTAGTTTGATGGTGTATTTTTGACATACTTGTACTCAAGTCTCATACATATCATTACCATTTACTGATGGAGTAGATATACCCCAGTTCATGACAGGCGGTTCAACTTGCATATTTACTTGGTGTTCTTTAAGCAGTCTTTACTAGAGCCTAGTAGCAAGCTGGTAACTGCTTCTTAAATGGAGAATAGTTGTTATCAGGACATAACTTAACTCCAAAACCAATGAGTCTTCAATGTGATTCTTACATTGAGACTTGTTAGTTGCTTCATATACCATCCTTATCTGCCAAGTACACTTCCAGTATTATTGGATCTGTAAACCTAATCACTTATAATAATCTACAGTTATATTCTAAGATCTTTCAGGCTTTTTCACTGTCAAACAGTTGAGGTAAGTGTGTATAGTATAGGAATTATGAATCCTCCAATTTTCAAATCTTCAATAACAGTAAAAATCTACACAGTTCCCTCACTGATGTGTTGTGGCTTTTGATTTTCTATTTGTATATAGAGGGAAGTTCCAAGAGCTTCCTTTTAGCTTTCACTGTTCTAATAGTTATTACCCCTTGGGTGGGAGAGCCAGTGTGACGATTCTAACTCTGCATTTAGGAACTGAAAAAAATAAGCACAGAACTGATTGTGGGCCTACTGGATCTTTTGAAAAAGAGACCCAGGCCAAGACTTTTGTCATTTGACCTCTATAAACTCTCACTCTGACCATTAGACCTGAGATGTATTTCAGAGTTAGTTCAGAGCCCATATTTAAGAATACTTTTTTGAGATTTGGGTATTTTTCTTTCTCCAGCTATAAGGCACCCAAATAAATGATTGCATACTCCTTTGGAGAAGGCTTGGACATGTATTCATCCAATACAACTGTGAGCAGCCTTGCAGTGACCTTCTTCAAAGCCTCCCCATTCATTGGTCGAACTACTCTGGATCTGTGAACTGGCATAAGTCCAGAATTGTTAATTACCTGTGTTAGTTTTGTACCCACCATAATTAATGCTTTTCTGCCTATAAATAGAAAGCACATATAGATTGCCCATTTATTGCATTTCTAGATATAACATAATAAAATATTCACTGCCACAGATCTCTGCAAATCACTCAGAGTACCACTCACTCTTTCCCTGTGATTTTTGTGTTAATTCCTTAGTCTTCTTGCCTCTGTTATACTGGGGTTCCATTATTTCCACTCTGAACAGTGAACTCAATTCCACTGCAGTATTCATTATAGGACTGCTGTCATAAATGTCTTTATACGTATAATATTGCCTCCCTCATCAATACACTTTTTAAATGCCTGAGAAATAGAAAACTTGTTCTCTCCATTTTTTTTTTTCATGACCCAATTATTTTTTATACTCTTCATTGATTTGTTTGTTAACATCTCCATGCTTCTAGTATATAAGCCTTCTGGAATGTTAAGGTAAGTCCTTCTCAGTCTTGTTCTCTGGTAATTCTGCAGTACCTAGAATAAGGCCTAGTATATGAAGGCACTTAAGTAATTACTGAATGAACGAATAAATGTCAATACCTGTTTGCTCCTGTGTGAATGTTGATGTGGAATAGATTTCCAGAAATTTGAATTCTTTATCTAAAGTTACGAACATCTTAATTTTAAGAGGTACCACCTAATTATCCTTCACATTGATTTTTCTAATGGATATTCTTATCAAATATATATGATAATGCATATTTCCATAAATTCTTCCCAGTACGTCACCTTAGTTGTACTGTTGGTCAATATGTGAAAAATATCCCTATTGATTTAATTTGCATTTCCTTGATGATTGGTAAATTTGAGCATCATATATATATATATATACTGACCCTCTATATTCCTTTTACTGTAAAGAGACTATTTATACACTTTGGTCACTTTCCCATTATTTATTTTTTTAAATTATTGATTTGTAAAAGGCCATTTGGTTCTATGGGTGCTATTGATTATATATTGATTTTTGCCTCACAACCTTTAAAAATCTTGTGTTGATTGTAGTATTTTAGTTTCATCTTTTTTGATATAACCTATCTTTTCATTTGTGAACAAGTCTTGTTTTTTTTCTTTCCCATATTTAAACATTCTGTTCATTGTTCTGCCTACTGCCGTATCTTGCACTCATCATTTCTGAATAGAAATAGCAATCACAACCTTCCTTCTCTTGTCCTTGATCTTAAAGAGAACGTCTTAATTATGCTTTTATCTGTAAGTTTTTTTCCCTTTTTTCTGCATGACCTTTATCACTTTAGAAAGTGAATTTATTGTTCTAATTTTCCAAGAGTTTTTCTTTTTTAAAATTCATGAATGTATCTTTCATTTCATCGCCTTTTCTACTGAGAGGACCATATCTTTTCTGTCCATTAATATGCTGATGTGGTTCATTATATTAATTGATTTTTTAAAATATAAAACTTCTCTTGCATTTCTAAAATTAACTCATCTTTTACATGGTTATATTAGTGTTATTGTTGTTTTTTTTACCTTGATGGGTTCAGTTTTTCTGTATTTGGCTTACAATTTTTGCTCCTAAATTTAACCGTGTGTTTTGATTTAATCTTACTTTCTTGTACTGTTTTTGTCAGTTTTTAATATCAAGCTTATGCTAATAAAGTTACTGCAGTTGGCAAGTTTATGCTAATTAATGCCATTCCAAGAAACATGGATGAACTTAGAGAAAATTATGTTAAGTGAAATAAACTGTCACAGAAAGAGAAATACTGCTTGTCCTCACTCATAAGTGAGACCTAAAAAAATCAACAAATAAATAAAAAATGAAAGGAAGAAAGAAAGATATGACAATAACAATAATATGTTGAACTTTGAGAGAACAGAACTGAGGTTACCAGAGGTGGGAGCAGGGGGCAAGGAAAGGAAGGAATAGATAAAGGACCATGAAAAACGATTATATTGCATAATATTGAATATACTAACTATCTTGATTTGGGCATCACATGTTGCACACCGGTACTGACATTCAACTTTGTACCCGACAGATACATACAATCAATTATGTTTCAATTTAAAAATAAGTTAATGACCAGAATTTCTGCATGATAAAATAAAAAAGTTTATGCTCATAAAGTTTAAGCACTTAGCAAGTTTATGCTAATTAATATTTTCTTTTTCAATTTTTCTTTTAATTCCTTATTTTTTATATATTTATATGTCTTATGTCTCATATATTACTATAGATTCACACAAGATTATATATGTATGTATGTGTGTATGTATTTATGAATATGTGTGTGTGATTTCAATGATTGTGAAACCACTCTCAAAACCATAGGGATGATCAATTGTTTTAGCACTATTTGTAAAATAGAACCTAATTTTTCC